GGGGGGGGGGGGGAGGGCATAAACCCATGTATCCCCGGCTTTTCCCCCGAGGCGTCGGCGCTTTGGCGTTGAGTTAGGGTTAGGGTTAGATTGATCGAGTCAAACGTAACCCTACAAGCCCAAGGCTAACGAGTAGATTTGCGAGACTATGGTCCCTGATGTTGTGCAGTGCTAGAGGCGGCAAAGGCAACTTTGCAAGGCAAGTTGTTGTGTTGGATGGTTAGCTGAGCTGCTTCGCTCATTTCGAGCTTTGGCCGGTACAGCAGTATACTTTTGTAGGAATGGGGCGCTACCATACATGTGATCCTATAGCATGGCTGAGCGGGGGCCGGCGTCTGACGAGCAGATGGGGCAGGAGTAACGAGAGTGAGGCATGTTTGCAATCCATCAAAACCTCGGTAACTTTTCGACGATTCGTGGAAATTTTTCGAATTTCTCCCTCCTGCGGAGGAGCGGGGTAAGGCGTAATTGCATATTTTTTTCGCACAGAGCCTTGCCTAAACTAACATGCAGACGGTTTCATCCTCGTTGTTCCCGCGAGAGAAGAGCCCGCCCGCTCGGGCCTCCTCTCCTCGACCGATAGGTTTGCCATCGTTCCAAAAATGAAAGGTACAGCTATCGTGGTTGAATCTTTCAGTCCAGACTCAGGCAACGCCAACGGGGTGCTGTGGGCTTCACCTCTGAATGTCTTGTCTGCATACATACATCGTGAAGAACCAGAGGATCTCGGAGCGCTCCATTTTGGTCTGCGCCACAGAATGCATAGAGAGCCAGCAATAACGTGCCCCCATGTAGTCTATACTTCAAGAGACGCAGCGGGGCAAGCTGCCCATTCTAAAACAACCCGTTGTCGTGGCTTCCTAGCCAGAAGGGGGTGTGTTCTCCAAGCTATACTCTGTCGCACAAAGACCCTTGCGCTGCAGCGCGAACCTGGAGACAACGGGACGGCGCGTGCTGTCCGAAAAGTCGATTATTATTACCATCATAGACTCGAGGTCATGATGTCGATGGCCGAACCGCAACCAGCAACGAGGGCGAGTTGCGTATCTACACCTGACTCTCAAACAAAACACCAACACGCCCTCGCCTGCACGGAGTAGCCCCAGAGCACTTCACTTTTCGAGCGACGCACAAGTCGCAGCTCTTCTTGTGCCTGGGAGGAGGAGCCGTGGCGGCGGAAATGTGGGTGGTCATCCCCAGCCGCTTGCTTCCAGCAGCTTGCATGAGCGCCCACAACCGAAGGAAACAAGTTTGATCTCCACAAACTAATAAGCGCCAGTAGCGAGGCCGGTGGACGTGTGTGCTCGGAGCGATGGAGGGGGGCGTTGAGCGGGCTATGTGTGTGTAGTTCGTGTTGCTCTAGCAGCAAGAATTCAAATGGCACTCACGCTTCAACTTCTAGAAGCCATCTGGCATCCATGGCCTGCTTGCACATCTGCAATTAAAAAATATAATTATCCATAGGCGGACCACTAGCGGGGGGGGATGGCAGGGGAGGCTCACGATGCGTGGCCGCTATTTTGTTTTTTCTGGGCTGCACACAAATCCCTCCGCCTGTTGCCTGGCACGGAGAATCCCAAGTACAGATCAGATGTACCGAAGACCTCCCTACCAGTCGAGGGTGCCGCTGTGCTCAATCGATGAAGCCACTCGTTGCCCTGCTGTGGGTAGCAGCTTGGGCCGTGAAATGTGAGTTAGCAATAGTTATCGACTGTGTAGACGGCGTGGCCCTGCGTTTTGAACGCCTCCAGCATCCGACCCGCGTCTCTTGGAGCGCGCCTGGCTTTTGGGGTGTACCGTACGCAACGGGTCATAGCAGACCATGCTGTGTGCATGTGAGAGTCGAAAGTTTCTTATGGTTTAGCAAATNCTACCAGTCGAGGGTGCCGCTGTGCTCAATCGATGAAGCCACTCGTTGCCCTGCTGTGGGTAGCAGCTTGGGCCGTGAAATGTGAGTTAGCAATAGTTATCGACTGTGTAGACGGCGTGGCCCTGCGTTTTGAACGCCTCCAGCATCCGACCCGCGTCTCTTGGAGCGCGCCTGGCTTTTGGGGTGTACCGTACGCAACGGGTCATAGCAGACCATGCTGTGTGCATGTGAGAGTCGAAAGTTTCTTATGGTTTAGCAAATGATGGAGTATTGACTGAATGGTGGCAACTTGAATCAACACAATCCGTGTACCCTGGTGAGACCGCTGGACGAAAGGCCGCACATTTTCCAAACCCGCGGAAGTCGACATCCCACACCCCCGGTCGCCCCGGTGGTCTAGTGGGTAGCCTCGCAGCCTGCTAAAGGCCAGGTCATGGGTTCGAGTCCCGACAAAGAGAGTTTTTTTCTCACTAAATAAATCCTGGTCTAGGATGAAAGCGATGCGCTGCAAAGCTCGTTTGTTAGTAAACCATAATCGACTTCGTAAGTCGCGAGGGAAGGGATTGCTGTACCTTTCTCGCGATAAAAATACCTCAGGCATGAACCGCAGGAGGGGGTCCAACCCCCCCCTCCTAGGTGACCCCGGTTGGGTCGTCTAGCTAGTAGAAGTGGAGGATAGGGGCCAGAGGGGCAGACGACAGAGTTCAATGATGGGAGAAAAACAAAAACAAACAAAAACAACAACCTCCACTACATGACGACGTGGTACGGCTGTTGCGCTCTATTTCGTGAGCAGAATCCCTAGACATGACTCAACCTGTCGAAGCATTCATTAAGTTGCTGAAAGGAGATATTGGTGTCTTTTCCCACCATGACCCAAGTAACGGGGGCGGCGTACAGGCAACAAAAGCACAATTTTTGCTAAGATGAANGGTAATGTTTTAAGTCCAGTAGAGCTGCGATCAAAGTGTCGTGTTATTAGAAGTTCTGACCATATCGGGACAACATGGGAGAAGACTCCGGGCGGGTCAGACTGACCACTTGGGGGTGTCTCTTCGTCCACACACATGTCCACAGTTTTCCAAAATCCTACTCTTAACCCAACTCTGCTGACAGTCCATACTTGCATTCCGAGAATCTAAGATTCTATCCAATCCTCCTCTCAAAAGACCTGTCGAATCTCTCAACTTATTTCCCTTATATATGCCAATCCGCCTCACAACTTCCCGATAGTTCAGTATCCTGTCAAACATGTCCCGCTCTTTTCCACCTGCTCTCTTTCCAAGTAGTACGCTTGGCTGCACTCAGTTTACACCA